TGTGTTTCTTCTGACAGTTTTATCTTAGTATGGGAATGGCAAATTTTGCAAATAAAATGGAATAGTGTGGGCTTCATCAGATGGAGGAACGATTTTGCAAGTTCATTTGACTGGCTCACTGTTAACAGTTCTTTGAAACCCTTTTTGTTTTCAAGGATTTCTGGTAAGACAGACTGTCATTAACATCTGTAGAAGAAAGAGACTGGAGAGCGACTCCTACAGCCCACCGCACGTCCGCCGGAAACAGAAGATCACAGACATTGTCAACAAATACCGAAACAAACAGCTGGAGCCAGAGTTTTATACTTCACTTTTCCAGGAAGTTGGACTCAAGAACTGCAGCTCCTAGACCGCTGTGCATCCAGGACTGTTACACTCCAGTCTGGGGACTGTCACAAAGCAAGCCAGTTTGTTAGGTGATCACTGTACAGATAAAACAAATCACTCCCTTAAGAGCTCACCGTCTAGTCACCACAAGAAAAGAAACACATATAAACCCATTTGACAGAAGACTTTGGGCTTTCTAGTAAGATGGGTTCCCAGACACAATCATACTCCTGCTGGTAATGACGGTAAACACTTTAGCCATCCAATTTTTTTTTTTAAAGTGGCAGTTAACTGTAAGCCTTTTGAGGAGGAAGGCTTTATGCATCTCAGTTAAACACATGCATTGGTAGGATCAACAAATGTGCAAATTAGAAGTTGAAGTTAGTTTTGTACCTCACTTTTTAGGAGGTTGTATTCAAAATTAAAATCTGTCTCGGAATCTTCCAGGTCGTGTAGACTGTTGTTGATCGTGTGGAGGAGAAGGACGAAGTCCCAACCTTCCGTGCTCACCTGTAGGTCTGTCATCCAGCTGTCAGAATGACGAAAAGAGCCAAGAGCCTCGGTGGTTTCCTCTCAGAAAAAGAATCGTTTTCTCTCTTCATTTGGAAGTCATTCTCCTTACTACGTGGGTCTGTCTGATGGTGTCGCTTGCAGGTGTCAGAGCTAAACTGCAGGCATGTCCTTTTGTGGAGACACAAATGAAGTGTGCGGGCTTAAAAGTTGTTGTACAGCAGTGATGCCTCCCCGTCATGCAGTTCAGTGACATAAGTGACAGGGTAAGCAGTCAGCGTTCCTTGGTTAACACATTAACAAGTGTACACTGACAGCAAGGTTGGCAATCTCTTGGTTTCCCTCACTGTCTCTTGTGACAGCACCAAGGAGCAAGCTACCACAGTTGACGAAGGATGCTCCTTGGGCTTCAGGAAGTAGCTGACTGCCAGCCTCCCCCAGAGGGCACGTGGCAGGGCAGGTGTGAGTGTGCAAGCAGCATGAGCACATGCCTCCTGCAGTGGCTGCTGTCGGAAACGGCTGCCGTCCCCAGGTCTCCTGGACTTTGCAGCTGACAGCACAGTGAACCCCTGCCAGGCCTCTGGAAACACTCCTGTTACCTCACTGCTCCTTTGCTGGCAGGGACGAAGCTTGTGAGGTGGCTAGGCTTAGAATGCTCTACAAGGATTCCTGCTACCGTGCTGCGGGGGTCCCCCTCCGCTCACGTCTCCTGGTCTCTGTGTGCTTTCTTCCTTAGCAAACTTCTTTTACATTAAGAAATCAAGTGACGTTTCAGTCCAAAGAGGAATGAACCAGAATTGTCTAAGGAGTATCTTCCCACTTGAACTGTCATGTCAGTAATCTGTAGATCAGGGCCATAATAGTCTGATTTGATGTTTTGGTCATTTATTTAGAAGTTGGGAGCTAATGTAGGACCTGATTCCCTCTACAGATCTCTCTGTTCCAAGAGTCTGTATCTTAACACACGTGTGCAAGAAATGCGGGCATAGCAACTCTTGCTTTCCTTCATGTTTGTTTTAAGCTCAGGTAAAGATAACCTCTTCCTTCTCCTCGGACTCCCGTTACCATTCAGGGTGTAGCACCGCTCAGTAATGGATTCCCAGCTAGGCAATAAACAAATGTTTGCAGATGGTACCATGGGACAGGGGGATGTCCAATAAAGATGAAGGAGTTGTGCCCTACGAAGGTTTTCCTGGCTTCACAGGAACAAGGGCAGGGTTAATAACTCCCGAGAAAAATCTCAGCTTGACATTCTAAGGGGAAAAACAAGTGAATCAAAAAAGCTGTAAGTTGATGTGCAACTTGGAACATTCCAGATGTTAGAGATAACCCATGTAGATGTGATTCTTCAGATCGACTTCATGTTGATGTCAGAAACGTGTGATGTGTGTGCAACTCTGTCATTGCATTGTCTTGGAGGAGTGAACCACTACGTGGAGAACATACTTCATCCCTAACAATCTTCAATAGCCACTTGACAGTTGGGCCAGTCCTACAGGGGAGGCCAGGACCCCTTGGTCTGTGGCAGAGGTGAGGTGGGGCAGGGGTCTCTTCAGTCTCCTTTTCAGGTGGTGGGTTTATCCCCCGATTCCTGTCCCTGAGCTCAGCCAGGAGGCCTTCGGTCACACTTTCCTTGCTTAACCAGCTCTCTGGTCTGGAGCTTCCTGCCAAGTCTTCTTCCTGTCCTTGCAACCCTTTGAGCGGCAGAATTATGTGGTGGCTTGTCCACCTGCCTCTTCTGGCCGTTACACACATGCACACACGCATGGGCATTTTCCTCCCACTCCAGCTCCTCTGGTACAGGGCAACCCATTCCCCTGTGAACTCACTGAGAAGTACAAAGCCCCCCACACCTTTGTCCAGAAGTGTCAGGTGCCTACAGGTTGTGCGTGGGAGGCCTTAGTGAACAGTTCCTTTCTGCCTGGGCAATGTCTTCTGACTGAATTCTAGAGAGGCACTGCCTTCTGGAGTTGGCATTCCCCCTGCACTGCTGGGGTCAAAGGTGGCATGTGACCCCAAGTCGGAGCCAGCCTTTCTCAAAAACACATCGTGTGGTGGGCGGTGAACACAGATGAGAAGTGGTCAGGTACCTCTGTGGGCCACAGGCTGCTGTGTGGCATCTGAAGACCCTCTAGGCAAAAGCTTCCCAAGGAGAATGGATTTCTGTGTTTACATGAAAGGATGCCTGGGGTCAGATGGTCAGAGTGGAGAGACTAGGGGTGACACTTCCGTACCCCGTGGAGCTGAGCTGGTTCTCGCAGTAGCTGAAGAAGCCATGCACTGCATAGTGTTTTTGTCAGGATGTCAACTCCTGTGCTTGCGCTCGCTCTCTCTCAAGTGGCAAGGGAAGAGGTGTGATTTGGGATTCCACAGTGCCTTGCATCTAGTAGGCGCCCAGTAAATACTTGTTGAAGCAAACCGAGTTTCCCAAGTCCTCTTGCAGCAACCAAGATACTTTCTTCTCTGAAGGGCTTGGCAGTTGTGGCTAAAAATAAGCAGTATCCTTATTTGCTTGAAATCCTATATACAATTTGTATGAAATTCCAGTGTATTGCCAAGACATGATCCTTTTCCTGTTGTATTTTCTGTAAGTACTTCCGGCACTTAACTGTAAATACAAAGGCGTCCCTGCGTCCCCTTGCCTCCTGTGTTTGATCTCCGTCAGTTAGGGAAGAAGGTCCAGAGGTGTGTTTGTACTTATGCCCATCCTTGGTCCAGAAGAAACCCATGGAATATTGAATGTAATACGTTTATTCAATTAAATTTTAAGGAGATTCTTATCTAACAGCTTGGTGTGTGCTTTGGGTCACAGGCTGGGGTACTGAGTGAGTATCCTTAAGTTAACTCTTTCCACGCTGGAACTCCCCTCCCTCTAGGGTCTAGATTTGTGGATTTTACCCTGGCTCTGGAGTTTCATGAAGTAGCTCAAAAAGTCAATGAATTCTCAAAGCGGAATATCTGTTGGCTGCCATGCTGGAAGAAACCAGTAAGAAAGACCCCTGTGGAGACGAGTCAATGTGCCAAGGACCCAGTGGCTGGCCCTCTAGCTCAGGAGGAAGGAAGGGCCAGCTGCCCTCTGCGAGTCTAAAAGGAAGAGTGTGTAGCACCCACTCTCCCCCTGCTTTGGGTAGGTGGCAAGGGTTCCATGGCCAGATTAGTTCCCGGATCATGTTGGTGCAAGGTTGAGGGTGTTTGACTCACTTAAAACTAGAATGAGAGCCACTATGGTTCAGGCCTCTGCCAAGAGCTGTCCTTCCTGCCCAGCACAGACCACATGACATCAGGGGACAGCCCTTGGGTCTGGGAGCTGCCCCTTGCAGTGTGTGTCCACCCCTGCCCAGACTGCTGACTCTGGCCCCCCAGCTGGGCCTGTTGAGCTGGCTGGGGAAGCTGGTACACCATGGCCTGTTGTCTGCAAAGCTTTCACAGCCAGAAAATGAGTGTTAGGCCTTGTTCACCTGTGCTCCTCAGCTGTCTGACCCCAATCACTTCGGGACCCAAGACCAAGAAATCACCCCCAAACTCATCCACCTGCCACTGGCCTTGGCCTCTGGACTCTGTGTGGCACAGCTCACCGGGGCACAATGCTTCTCGGATACCTGTTCTAATGCCGTTTTCCTAGATCATCCCTCTTTCAGAGGACAGTGGGCCGGGGCTGCCTCTAAACCACTGACCCTCAAAACCACAGGCTCCTACTTCCTGCTGCAGCTGCAGCTGCTGCTGCTGCTCCCCAAGCCTGACTTCACCCTTGGCTCTCAAAACCACCTGCAGTAGAGATGTTGGGCTTCCCGCTGGTTCCCCTCCTGCCCAAAGCTCTAACTGCAAAATCTGAGCCTGGGAATTGGCATGTTTTACTATATTTCCACCCACCTGCTGACAGAGGCAAGTGGTCCAAGGAGCCTACTGGAGAAAATCACATAGCAGCCACTTTGGCTGACATTCCCACATCCACCCCAGCCCGGTCAGAGTTTCCTTCTCCAGCAAGGACCCACGTCCATCATCTGCCGGTTCCAGCATGCACATTAGCAGGAAGCTGAAACAGGTGCAGAGCTAAAGATGCCAAGCCCTGGCTCCAGCACAGCTCCAGCAGCTGTCTCCCTCAGGAGCCCTGGCTGAGCACTGGGGAGTGGGTCGCACTGTGACTTCCTTGCTGCATCACAGTTGGGCTGACAGCCAAGTGTGACTCCCGCAGGCCAGGCCCCCAGGAGCCCGGCTGGCTTGGCTCGGGCACACACGGACCATGAAGTACCCTCTGGTGCCACTGGTGAACAACTTCACATTTTCTTTCCTGGTTTTCTGGCTCTGCCTGCCCGTGAGTTTACTGTTGCTCCTGTTGATTGTCTGGCTACGTTTCTTACTTAGCCAAGGTGAGCTGCTTCCCCATTCAGGCTGGGTTCTCATCTTGCAGCAAGGAGAGGGTTCTGAATTACCCAGTGTCCTGAAACTACTACAGAAGGGATTTTAACCAAGCATTTTTCAAAAACAAGAACAAAAATTATTTGAAACTCAGAAAGGGAGAAACAGATCTTCCATCCACTGGTTCATCTCTAAATGCAGCAGCCAGGATGGGGCCAGGTAGGACCCACAGGCCTGGAACTGCATCTGAGTGACCCACATTGGTGGCAGAGGTCTAAGCAGTTGGGCCATCTTGCACTGCCTTCTCAGGTATTTTAGCAGGGAGCTGGGTCGGAAGTGGAGCAGTGAGGTCTCAAAGCAGCACTCTGATGTGTAACTCCAGTGTTGGCAAGCAATGGTTTAACATACTGTGCCACCGCATTATCTACTGCTCAAGTACTTAAAATGCTAATTTCCACACCAGTTGTCAACAGTGTACGAAAATGTTTGGTTTGGTGGATTGGAGTTTTTTAACCTAGGATTCAAGTGTGGGTTCTCTGAGGCTGTAAACCAGTCAGTGTTTGTGCACGCACCATCTGTCCCCTTAGGGACATTACCCACAGTGATGGCTGCTGCATGTGACCTCTTATTTTATCCTCAAAAGTCCCCTGAAAAGTCCCCCTTCCCAGGGTCACCCACTGATGATGTACTTGATAATGCCCCTGTCCAGGTTAACCTCCTGGTTCTGCCCCCTGTCAGCTATGAGACTTCAGGCCGCTCCTCTCTGAGCCCTCATCTTCTCATGGGGAAAATAGCAGCACAGACTCCATGGAGGCTGTGGGAAGGCTTCCCAGGGCTGGTACTTGACCAGCACTTGAGCTGGGCTCCCCGTGCACCTGCACCTGCACCTGCACCTGCACTGGCTGACCACACGGTGGGGTAATGCAGCCAAGGAGGCAACCCAAGGTAAATTTTGTCTGAGTGGGAGAGAATGTGGGGATGTTGCAAAGCTGCTCCGTGGGGTCCGCCTGACTTTCCTCCCAGCTCCTGTGCCCCATGACCTGTACCCCCTTGAAGGCCCTGCTCTAGAATCAGCCACAGCCCACCATACCTCGGCCCCTCTCCCACTTGCTCGTGGGATGCCCTTCTCCCACGGCAACTTCAAGCGAGGCCCAGATTGCTTTTGCAGCGTGTAGCCCTGTGCTTTTTCTGTTCTGCCTTGGACCCCTTGCGTTAGGGTCAGTTTGACCCAGAAGCTGACATGGAAAGCAGACAAGGGCAGCCCTGAGGGCTGTTGTCTACCTTCCCGCTTCTTCCTGGCTGGGCAGGGCAAGTGTCAGGCTGGGGTGGTGAGTAGTGAGTGCCATGAGGCAGAGTGGAAGGAGCAGCCGGTCAGAGGAGGAGGGAAGCTACTTACTGAGCCTGACCCTGGACCTCTAGGGGAGCTAAACTCTGCCCACGCCATGGGGACCCAAGATGGAGCCACACTACCTTGCACCGGAAACACTGGGGACTCTCCTTCCAGAACCTAAAAGGGATTTACAAAAGGAAGGAAACTATGGGAAGATGGCACAGAGGAAGGGCGTCCCCCAGTGGCTTTGCCAGGGATAGGTCCTGTCTGCCCTGAGCTGGGTCCAGTTGGTGCTCACGGCCAGATGTGTCGCTCAGGGCTGCCTCTCACCTCTCTGGGTTTGGAGCACTTGTCTCCCAGGCAGCTCCACGATGGAGCCCAGGACCGCCACTCCTGGGGCTGTGATGTTGGACCTCTCGGAGCCTTCCTGGTTTTGAATGCACAAAACCTACACGTGACTGCCATCAGGCGGTCATTCAGAGAATGAACCAAGAAAATCCAACCTAAAGAATATGCAGTCAGTCAGCAGCCGTCATGCTAATATTCATGTCACACTCTGCACGAGCTAGGCTCTGCTGATGTGTCCATTTAGCAGCTGGGGAAGTTGAAGCTCCACCTTTTGTATCTGCTACTCTTGGTCTGCAGTCTGAGGTTCTGTTCCACTTCCTTTCCTTCTTTGTCCTCCCCTCACGATCCCCGCCCCCCAACACCGCCTCCTACCTCCCCCAGGGAAGCCACGTGTTGGTTTTCCAAGCCAACTAGGACGAAAGAGTTTTCATCTTTCAAAAAGTGAAGAAGCTTTGCTGCCTACCTTTCTCTGTGGTCTGCTAGTGCCACACCATGGAAGCCTGCAGGCTGACGGGCCCGGAGGTCAGATGGCTGGACCAGGTGCCCTGGCCATGACTGAGCCACAGTACAGTCAAGCAGGCCTCCCATGGCAGGCAAGCCTCGGTTCCTGGGTTCTGCTGCCCGGGTATGTGTTTTACCAGAGTGGCCCTGCATGGGCCACCACTGGGGCCAGCTGCATGGCTCCAGTGCCATGCCAGGACCAGGCCCCACGCAGTAGATTATGTGCTCATCTTCTTTCCTAGACCCTTGTCACCTACTCCCCCTTCTCCCCCAAAGCCCCAACATCCTTGTGAAGTCTTGGGGCTGGCCTCAGGTCCAGCAAGTGGCTCCTTTGGGGTTGAGGGGGATTGAGGGTATGAGGAGTGTGGGGGAGGGGAGCGGGTGTGACCTCCCCAGAACCTTGTCTTGCATCCCCATAGACCCAGAGGAGAATACCGCAGAACTGTGCATCGACTGGGAGCCCTGGAGCCAAGGTCCAGTCGAGTTCCTCTGGGAGGAGACCCTGCAGGACCTTGAAGAACACAGCATCTCCTGGTGAGCCTGCCCTGCCAGGTGAGACAGCTTTGGGGTTCCGGGCTGGGCCAGGGGACCCCAACACAGGTCCCAGGCACCCCTGACAGAGAGCTGGCCAACAGTGTGTGGGTCAGATCTGGCTTAGCCATGCTCAAGCACCAGACTGATACCCTGAGAGAGTGGGGGTTCTTGCACAGCACCCCCGGCCCTTCACCAGATGACCTCGCCTCCTGCTGCCACTCTCTGGGCTTAGCATCAGCTCTTCTGTCTGCCAGGAACCTTCAGACATCTGCTTGGTCTACCAGTCAAGCACCCCCTTTCAGTAGGGTACCCTGCCTGCCCTAGCTGCTGCTTCACCTCCTCCCCTCCCTACCCCGCCACTTCGCCCCTCATTCTGCTTGGCTGTTCCTTTGCCATGGCCCTGGTGAGCGCCCAGCGTGCTGGATGATATAGGTACCACAGAGACACGAAGCATCTCACCTGTCCAGACTCATCCTGACGCAGGCAGTTGTCATTCTCGCACCCAGTTACGGATCTTGGTGTCAGGGCATTTGGATCAGCTGTCTGTCTGCACCCATTGGACATCTGGGATGGCCCGTCCCCTCCCACAAGGTCCCACACCTTCTCTGCCCATGACCTTTAAGTGTGTCTCGCTGTAGTCTTCCTTCCAGGATCTGTGGTCTGCTTGACATCTTTTCAGGACCACAGTGGGGGTTCTTGATTCCCCCTGATCCCCAACACACTGGACTCCACAGCCTGGTCCTTGGCCAGCTGTTCTTCACCTCCACGTGCACCACCACCACCTCGGATGGATCCGCTTGGAGCCATATACCAGCCAATCAGCCCTTGCGCCCTGCCCTTGCGCTCCAGGCCCTGCCCGTCAGCAAGAGCAAGGTGTCTGCTCATGTCCCTCCCTCATGGACAGCACCTCTCCATCTCCTGGCCTCCGTAGCCTGCCCGCCTCTGATGTCAGCCTGGGCAGCCAGTTTACCAGTCCCTCCTCATTCATTCCCTGCCCATCTAGCTACGGGGAGGAAGAGAGGCTGAAAGACAGGACTCTCACTCAACCTCAGCCACCATCAGCCTGAGTCTTTCTGGGTCACGTCCTTGACCATGGAGGGCCGCTTTCCCCAGAAAGGCCCACATGTGTGCACACACCCAGAGCTGGGTGCCCAGGGCAATCTTCTTGTGGGCATGATCTTCAGCCCCATAGTTCTCCCATGACCAGGAGAGCCACATACTTGGGTTTGTACTCTGGTGTTCATTTAAGGTTAAGTTTTATTTATTTGGAAACTGGAGAGAGATGGTCCATCTGCTGGTTCACTCCCCAAATGCCTGAGCCGATTCAAAGCCAGGAACTTCTTCTAGGTCTCCCTTGTGGGCACATGGTTCCAAGGCTTTGGACCGTCCTCTACTGCTTTCCCAGGCCACAAGCAGGGAGCTAGATGGGAAGTAGAGCAGCTGAAATACAAACCATAGCCCAATGTCAATACTGCAGACAGTGGTTTTACCTACTATGCCACAGCTCTGGGGCCAGAAGTTCATGGGTCAATGGGACCTGTAAATTATGTAGCCTGTCGTGTGTGTGTACAATCAAGTGGGATGTCCAGACCCTGTCAGAACCCCATCCCACCCTGGCATTTGTCTCTTTCTTACTGTCATTTCCGTGTCATCTGCAGATCCAGCCTACCATACGTTTTGGCTTTCCTGGAGTCTGCTGCACTGCAACAATGGACTAAATAGATGGGAATTGCCAGGAATGGAAGAGGTCTGCCCGGGGACTCCCGACTTGTCTGCTTCATGTGGTCACACAAAAGCCCTGGAAGGAACTGGCTCTCCTCAGCTGACACCATGGGTCTCCCAGGCTGTGCAGGCACGCTAAAAAATGGGGACCGGCTGGCTTCAGAGAAAGTGTGAGGATGGAGCTGGGTCAGGGAGCGGGTGGGGTCTGCATTAAAAGGGGGATTCTGTGCTCAGGAGCCCCTGACACACCTGCTAGGCCTGGCCATGCCCAGTCATTTACCAGCTCCAGATCCAGCCTGATCTTGGTTGGACTCATGAACTGTCCCCGGCTTCCTTGTTTCTGCTCAGGGTGGGGCCTATTCCGGGGCTCCGATGCCAACACTGCCTCCAGCAGCTCCAGCCATAGGAGAGAAAGGAGAGTGAGTAGGGAAGGGCCTGTGCTGTGGCTGGTTCTAAACCAACCCCCCAACACACACACACATCAGCATGTGGTGCACATGTGTGAGAAGCCACGGGATGGCAAGCATTTTACTCTCAAATACGTTTTATTTCTGTTTTCCTCCTGTTACTGAGTGGCCTCAATGTTAGTTGACTGTTGTTGTTGTTGTTTTTAATGTAGTTTCCTCCCCCAAAAGATGTATTTATTTTACTTCAAAGTTTCAGAGGGAGAGGGGAAGAGACAGAAATCTTCCATCCAGTGGCTCACTACCCAAGTGGCCACAGCTACTGGAGCAGGACCAGTCTGAAGCCAGGAGCCATGTGGGTGCAGGGTCCCAAGGACTTGGTCCATCCTCGGTTGTTTTCCCAGGCCACAGGCAGGGAGCTGAATCAGAAGTGGAAAACCCAGGCAGCTATTCAAATCCAATGTTTTAATGTCGGTTGTTGATGACTCAGGGTGGCCAGCCCCCCGAGGCGCGTGCCCTTCTGAGTGCCCACATTCCGGTACAGTTCCGTCGGCTGCGGGTTCAGGGAGGCTGGGGAACTTGCTCACAGTGGGGCAGCCAGGATAAGTGACCCTTTTGCCCTCTGAGCTTGCGGTCCCTTGCAGCAGTCCCCTCTAGACGGCTGAAGCAGCCATTGCGGCCACCAGGGGTCGCCCCAGCCTCATCACAGCGAGCGCAGAGGCGGACTTGAGGCAGTCTTGGGGGGCAGATGCTGGGAGCGCAGCCACCTCTCCTGCAGGCAGGTCCTGCGGGCCTGGCTGAGACTTGGGAAAGCAGGGATCGCTTTGTGGGGTAGACATGATTTCGGGCGTTCCCCAGCACTCACCCTGGGCCCCCGGTCGGTCTCACGTGCTCCTGCACAGGGCAGGGGTTCTGAGAGCTGGGTGCTTATCCTTGGCCGACGGAGCAGGGGGCTTCGCGCGTGCTCAGGCTCAGCTGTACTAACTTTGCACTCAGAGCAGGCGCGCAGCGCCCCTCCAGCAGCCAAGCCTGTGTAACTACTTGTCAGTTTCCCTATTCATCTTCTGAGCTTTCTCGGGCTCATCTTTTGCCTCGCGGTGGCATCGCTGCGATTGATGCTCCCGCCCCACCCAGGGCGGGGTGAATGGCGGCCGCTCTGGGCTGGCTTGGGCTGGGGACACATTTCTTGTAAGCCCTCCTAATGGACTGAATTGTGTTCCACCTGCTGGGAGCAGGTGGCAGGGCTTCAGGAAATTGGGGCTGTCTTCACAAGGTGGTGCTGAGTCCTGTAAAGGGCAGGAAGGGCGGCCAGCAGAGGTCAGCAGGTGACTGCTTCCCAGAAGAAGAGAGGTGGTACTTCCCAGTGACCACGCGGGATCAACATGGGCCTGGACTCCATCATCCCACTCCCTGCCCTAGGGGCCTGGGGACCAGGTAAGGCCTTTACAGCCATTTGACCATCATCACAAGGGCCGCCAGGTGCCTGGCTGTGAGTGGGGCCAGGAAGGAAGAATGCTGGAAGGGGAGCCCCTTGAAGTGCACAGACCACACTGTAGCAGCATTGTGCTGAGTCAGAAGACAGGCTGTGGGTCTGGGGTGGCAGTCCCTGCAAGCAAACCCTGCACCACGAACTGGTGGGCAACCAGTTGAGCCATTGCGCCAGCCCCCTGTTGGAAACCTCCAAAGCAGGATCCCAAGCATCCGTTTCGTGAGCTGGGCAACAGGGCAAGAATAGAGTCAACCTAAACCTTCCTTTTGGAGCTTGGAGTTGTGATCAAGAGGAGAGAGAGGGACTGGGAGCAGGGAGGGGAACAGACCTGGTCTGTGGTTTCACAAAAGCTTTCTGGGGAGAGGGAGCGACCAGTGAGCAGGTGAGAGGGACCCCGGCCTTGCAGAGGAGCCTCCAGCAGGAGGCCTGAGAGGGAGGTGCCGGATGGGCAGGGATCGGGAACCAAGGCCAGGGGGCGCTGTGAGGACAGGAAGCCACTGGCCTGGGAATGTCCTCAGCTGCCCTATTGAACAGAGAGCCCCCAGATGTCCCCGTAAGAGGCTTCCCTGGGCTGGCTGGGGACGCTCAGTGCCCCAGGGGCTGTCCAGGGTCCTGTTCCTGCTGCGAGGTCCTGGTTGGCTTCAGGGCACCCCAGAGAAGCCTTCGGAGCTGACGCCAGGAGATTGTCCTCCCAGATGGACGCTTGGGCAGCTGGATGGAATTCCTTCAGCTGCCATTGGGGACAGGCCGGCCCAAGGCTTCCGCTCAGGGAGAGGAGGTGAAGGCGCTGCGGGTACCTGGGCGTGGGCAGGTAACGCTTCTGCCATGTCCAAGGGCCCATCGTACCTACCTCCTGTTACACCTGTGGGTGATTGGGGCTTCGTGGGACCCATTACGGTCTTTGTACACAGAATGTGCTTGACCCCCGACCCCCATCACACACACATATCCCTCCTTTCTGGTTTTCACACCTGAGTGGGGAAGGGGGGAAACATCTTTGAATGTCGCTGCTGTACTTTGCAAGTCCCCAAAGGAAGAAAGGAGAAAGGATGATTTCTGTAAAACCACCCTCCCTCCTGTGTCTCTCCCCCTCTCCCCAGGACCCAGAGGGTAGGAGGGGTCCTCTATTGAGAATTCCCTACCCCATCCCCCAGCCGGCCACTTTGCATCCTGGGGGAGGGGACTGGGACTGGGAGCCACTTTTCATTGTCCCTGAACACTGACTGGCAGGAGGCCCGGGGAGGGAGCTCACAACTAGGGTATCTGCAGCTGCCTGTCTTTAAGGTAAAATTACCGTAATTACTCCAATTACCAAATCCATCAAGAGCTTTGGACTGAGGAGGCTCAGAGAACAATCAAGCTCTGATGGCTCCGAGGAGTGAGTCACGT